ATTTTTGCCAAATTTTTCATTTTCTAACACACCAAAAGCTATTTTCTCCTTTTGATTACATTTAATCTCAGCTCACAAGGCTGCTTCTGGCTCTGTCAGGATGCCCTAATTTCCCCCCTGCTTCTGCTTTAGCACACTGCTATTCAATACTTCTTGACGTTAGCTGAGCTAGATTCATAACCCGAGGCAGAATAATGGCCTGGATTACTCAGGCGTGCTAAAGAAAAAAATTTTTTTACAAGGACTATTTTTTTAAGTACTATTGCTCCAAGAATATTTTCTTTTTTCCTTTTAGTTCCACAAAACTCAGTAAGTTCCACAAAACCCAGAGAAGTGAATTCAAACTTTTTGGAGTAGTATATAAATTGATACACAATATTACAGTTTCAGATATACAACATAGTAACTCAATAATTATTACACTCAATATATTCCCAGATGCTTGCCACAGTATATCATCCCATTATCATACCAAGATATTACAATATTATTGGTTATATTCTCTATGTTGTACTTGCATTCCTATGTCTAACTTATTTTACAATTTGCAGTCAATAACAATTTTTAAAGTGCTTCTCCTTTATTGAATCTTCCCAAAGCATCCACTGTAGTTTTCACTGGAACAATAATTCTTTCTTTTCATGTATTCATGTATTATTGGTTTACATGAAATTTCATTAAGTTATGTCATCAAAATAATAAATTCAAATGGCACTAATAAATTCACTTGGGGAAAAAACCCAAGTGACTGTTACGCCCAAACTCAATGATAGGAATGGAAATGCATAGGTATACTGGAGAATGGTCTCCTAAACCTTGAGAGTTCTGCCGAACATACTGTCAGCATGTTCTACAGACAACACCTGAAGAGCTGCTTTAGCCAGGTTCAGTTAAGGGGCTTCTACTATAGACTGTTTTCTTTCAGGCACCCAGTGGTTACCAATGCAACTTCCCTCAAAGACCAGTGGTACCAAGGAATTTCACCTCTTTTCCCTCCATTGTTTTCATATCTAATTTATCATTATTTTAAACCTCTCAAGCAGACAGGGTTGACTACTTATCACTGGGAAATACTGAGATGTTAGTAACTCACTTTATTGCATGGTATTTTGGAATTATATTGTAATTATTTCATTAAAGCTTCCTGGCAATCCTTCTAAGATGGGGAACAGCTAACTTTTTCTGTAAAGGCCAAATAGTAAATATCACGTATAAATAAGTTAGGCCTTCCAGTTTCCTGTTGCATATTCTTATTTCATACATATTTATACTGACCAGATTTGGGCCATAGTTTGCCAATCCCCACTAAAAGATAAGGTAGAGTAGGCCACAATGTGCCTCCCTTTCCAATATCTAATACATATTTACAGCAACTAACATTTACCTAAAGTTTACAATGTGCCAGGTATTGTTCTGTTTTGTGTGCATTATCTGATTCAATCCTCAGTCATTCTATGCTTTAATTACTGTTATTATTCCTTTTACAGATATATAAATTGAGACTTGGAGAGATTAAGTAACTTCCCTATCATTCCATAAATGTTGGAATTGAGAATCTAAAACCATTAAGACTGACTTCTGAATTCTAAGGTACTCTTCTGAGAAGGCTTTTGGCTGATGGACCCAAGAACACATGGCTAATTAGCGGCGTGGCACAGACTAAAACACTAACCTCCTGACTCTGTGCTGATTTATTAAATATTCAGAGAAATCTACATTTTAAAGGGGAATTTGATGATGCTTCAACCCAATGAATGAATGCTTAATGGTATATAAGGCATTGAAAAGAAAGATACTTTAGAAGGGATATCAGATCTGGAGCACCACAAAGCTAAAATTAGGAATCCTGCTTTTTCAGTAAAACAGCACAAGATAATCTTAACTGGGGAACACAGATGTGCATAATACATTGTCCTAAAAATACATGCTTCAGCTTTTCTCAGAAAACACTAAAATAAGAAATGACACTATAAAATGGGAAATCAGCAATTAAGTCAGGTCTGTACTTAGGGATAGGCTGAAGATGACAGGAAGAAATATAAGCAGAGAGAAATGCACAATATCCAGATGATATTCACCTGGTGATTGAGAGCAATTCAGGCAGGTAAGTAATGTTACGGAGGCCCACAACAAGCAGTAATGTGTTGTAGTGTCTCAGGAAGCAATATTCCAGAAAAGTAGTAACATTAACAAATAAACAAGATCAATGAAATCTAATGGGTCCTCCTTTTATTATAACTTCCCTCCTCTTTGTATTTCTCCTTTGAGCAGAAGTATTGGAAGTAAACAAGACAAATATGTGAAAGGGGTGGGAAAGCCTGCTTTGGAGAAGGAAAAGCCTGTGTAGATGGAGAAGTGTAGTAACTTGACTTTCATTGAAGGCCTACTGCTATTCCATCACTCCTTGCATTGGGAGAAAATGCGAGTGACTCAAACCACACTTCTCTGCTCACCCCACATGTAAAGAGCATAAAGGCTGCTTCCATCTACATAAAAGCTTGGATCAAAGGCCGATCACCTGCATGATAACAGCAAACATGTATAAAATACTTCCTAAGTGCCAGGTACTGTTCAAAGTGATTTCAATGCAGTAAGTAATTTATTCCTTACAATTACTCTATGAGATGGATGTTTTTATAATCCCCATGTTTGATGAGGACACTGAAGCAAGAATGGTTAAATGACTTGCCCAAATTCACACAAATAAAAGATGGTGGAGCTGGAATTCACACTTAGGCAGACAGGCTCTTCACATGGTCTACAATCTCTTAAGCACTGTTTATAAATTTCTTTGGCTCAGTTGTACCACCATAAGCAAGTGATTGGCATCAGACTATCTTGCAGCATATAAGGGGCATTGTGCTGGGGATTACGATAAAGACTAGACAGAGCAACTAGCAACTGGAGAGGTAATCTTCTAAGAACTGGGATATCAGAGATTTTTGGGGAAGGAACTAGAGCATAAAAGAAAGACAGTGACTCAATAAAAGAAGAAACTACTTCATTACCATAATAATTAGCCATATTAAACTAGCAAGCTGTTGTAAAATTTAAGACCTAAAATAAATGTAATTCTGATCATGAATCCTGGTCTTTGTACTTGCATTGATCTTTCAGCATATGAGTACATATAATTTAAAAATGAAAGCAACCATATTACAAATGGATTTTTAGCCACACCACTAGAATAAATGCTGACATTGATCATTTAGAACAAGAAGTAATTCAGAAAGTTATGATGTTGGGCTTTAAACTACACTGCATGAAAATATTTTTCCCAACTACAGACATAATACTCCTTAAACTGAATAATAAAATTAATATGCTACAGAGAGATGTTTGAGTTTGGGCTAGGAAGGTAATCTTGGGATTGAGAATTTGCCCTTGTATCTCACATAAAGGTACTAACCACAAAGTAGGAAAACTTAGTCCAGATCTTGAAACACATCCTCAGGAAACTGCCTTTCTAGTTAATACAGATTTATTTGTTATTGCTAGGTGAAGAAAATAAACCAGAAATGTGAGGAAGAGCTGTCCTGGAATGCAAACCTAATATTCTAGATCCAGTTCCTAAAACACAGTCCACTGTCAGGCAGCACACAGAGACAGGCTAAGTACAGACACTGTTTGAGGACATATTGCAGGTGATCCTGTTTTCCCTGTAAGACAATACCCTTAAGGCTCTATAAGTATGGGCAGGATGTCCACACAGTTTCAAAAAAACCTGGCCACAAAATAAACTTAACTTTTCAAATAAAGTTGTGTTGCCCTTCTCCCCAAAGAAAAAGAGACACACACACACACACACACGATTTGAGAAATATATATCCATGATAAGGAAAATATATTGATAAATTTGTATTATGCTCTGTATTTTCTATACATTATGCAGATTTCTTAAAAATTAGGAAAATGTGTATGTGTGTACATACAATTACAAAATGTATGCTCCCAGAGAGCAAAGGTCAAATTCTGAATGGCAAATAGTCTGGCTGAAGCTGGCAAACCTAGAATTTAGTAAAGTACTGCTGACCAAACGAATATCGTATGTGAGAGCATAAGCATCATTACTGTTTAGCTTGGTGGATTCCGGTAACCTAAACCCATTGTTAATGTCATTGAGGCTGTATACCCTTGAGGCTAGAAGACTACTTTTTGTCATTGCAAAGAGTCTGGTTCTTCCTTTTAGGAGCATCAGAATAATTTATCAACACCCTATTGGATTCACAGAGAGGGAGGGAGGGAAGAGAACTGTCTGGGTTCCTCAGTTTTCCAGTTCCGATTTTTTGTGAGGCCCAGCTGTACTTCCTTCGAGTTCAACAGAAAAAATCTGTATTTCTTATTAAAATTTTATATTCTTTTACACAGATTTTAGTTACCTGCAAAACACACCCTGACCAAAACAGGCAGCAGACTTTAATTTGAAATCTAAAAGCCTGGAATGTCTAAGTAACCCAATTCTAAAGCAGAATAGTGTTTTTTTAAAAGTACACTGAAATATTAAACCTCCTAATCAATGTTATTCATTAAAATCATCTATTTTGGAACAAAGACTTTGAGCCAAAATGCATTCAGAGAAAATACATGTCATTCATGTAGAAATAATCACTCTAAATACTATAATGCCTGTGAAATTAAAAACTGCATTTAATTACATTTTTTTGTGACAGTGGCTTTCAAAACTACTTTGGGCAATAGAATATTTTCTTCTAATAAAATCTTAGGTTCATACCCAGTGCAAAGCAAAGATCCGCTCTGATGGAAGTGTGTGTGCATGTCTGGGTAGGGGCATGTATGCACGTGTGAACCTGCATGCAGGCAGAAAACTCTGCCAGATGGCCAGCCTCTTCCCCTGTCAGAGGTCCCCTGAGGAATCACCATTGGACACCTGTGGCCTATGTGAATCAGAGCTTGAAAACCACTGCACTAGGAAGAGACAGCTACCCTTTTACACTTTACAGTCACAACCAAGACACTGAATCAATCACATGCCTATTTACCTGTGAGCTTTAAAACTTTTTCCATCAACAAAAATACCAGTATCTGGGCAACAATGTTTCACGTAAAGTTTCAATAAATCTTCTCCTAATTCAGATGCAGGATCCAAGTCATAATTGTCTTTAAAAGAGAAAAACAAAACTAAAAAATAGTTTCTTTAATATTATAAATATTCAAAAATTTGTGTTTTAATATTAGCAAAAGGTTTCACATAGTTATCTCAATTACTGAGAGCAACAGTGACTGGAATATTTAAGTGGTAAATTCAAAATGAAACAAAATTTTACAGTCATCTATACTACTTTGAAATACATATTTCCACTTACATTGAAATATAGGTATACCTTTAAATATAAATATACATTTAAATATAGGTAGTAAAATCGCAAAATTTTACATCAAAACTGAAGCTACTTCATGAATATCTGAATTAGAAAGTTTTGGTATTATTTTTCACTATTTAATTCCTATTCATGAATTTATGGCTAGAACCAAAAGAAATTTAACTGAAATCAATGGGATTTATAGAGCACTTACTATGAGTTTGGTACTGTACACAGTATGGAGAAATACAGAAAATAAGTATTTTAAAAATTGTCTCTACTTCATGCAAGTTGTAGCGCTCCAAAATCTTACGACTACAGACTATCTACAGTTAAAAAAACATATGGGATGTGAACAGTTCCCAGGAATGGGTTGTTTTAATTTGTCTGATTTCTCTCAGACTGTTCAAGTACAGTTGGACAATATCCATCATATCATAGACAAATTTTCACAAATGCCTAGGGTGCCTAACTGGTTTTCTTGGCTTCACTGGAGATGGCTGGTAATTATAGATCTGCTTTGGTTAT